AGGTTTGAAGAACACCTTCGCCCCGAGTGGTATCACCATGCCTGGGAATTCGCTCTTATGCAACTTCAACCATGCACTGCTGCCATCGCTCAGCTTCTCGATGTTCAACAAATGGCTTACGCACTCCACTGCAAATGGCCAAAAACATGGTGGTAGTCCGGCTTCTAGTAGGCATGTCGATGTGGTAAGCATCATGAATTGATTGTTTCTCTCGGCGAGTGAATTGTTCTGGGGATGTCCTGGAAGCGACTGGTCTAGTGGAATCCGGAGTTCCTTGAGTGCTGCTTCAAATTGTGGCGCATCATCCGAGTAAGCGTTGGTGATCTTTCTCTTACCGATATAGTGCTTCATCGCCTGCACCACTTCGTCACTATTGCTTGCTTTCAAAGGATAACCCCATATCACACCAGTGAACCGATCTCGAATCACCAATACATCCTTATCCGGCATGATCCCATCTCTCGCCATCTTCTGAGTGTTCATGAGATCGAAAGTGATAAGGTCACCGAATGCCTTCAATTTCCGTTTGAAAGCTCCCTTGCTAGTCTTGTAGTGCTTCATCTTTGCTCTCACACATGATTTGCAGTATGGGTTCTTGTATCGGTGCGTCATCAGGTGCAATATGGATTTCGCCTCGTTCTTCAGCACTCCTGGTTTTGATAGTCTGGCTTCCCCGTCAACCACATCGACTTCCAATAGCCCCTCTTCATCTTCACCAATGTCACTCTCCTCTCGTTCAGAATCCGCATCACCTCCATGCTCGTCGTCTTCGGCTTCTTTAGGTTGGCCATCGTGATCACGATCGATTCTCGGGTCTTCCCCATCATATTCCTCTTCAGGAGAATACCTGTCATCACCGTGTTCCTCTGGTTCTCCTTCGACGCCTGCAACAGCTGGATTGATATCAGATTCACCATCCTGATCTCTCTGGTTATCTTTCTTCCTTCTCCTCCGCCTCCGTGGTTTCTTGGGCGGAGGTTCCTCTTGTTGTGTCTCCTGACCTGCTGTGGCCTCGTCTTCATGCCCCACACCTGACAGTATGCGATGAAGTATCGTAGCCAAGCCGTCTGGTCTTGGTAAACATCTCCCGTCATCATCGTTCACCTTAATGTATGGTATGTTGTCATGTACCGATAGCGGAATCTTGTTCGCGTTCTGGTCGATGAGGTATGGCAATTGGTTTGCCGGCCATATGAATGAGTACCCTTGTTCCATGCACCGTTTCCCGATGGAGAAGACTGATGGTGTGCTCTCCAACACGTGTGCCTCGGATCTCATGGGTAGTTCGTCCACATTGATGTCCACCATCTCTGATGTACTAGTTACACCATTCGCTGTCATGAAGCTCACGGATTTGGGTCCTTCCTTGGTGGTAAGGCCCATGGCATTGACTTTCTCTCTTGAGATCAAGTCGTGTCCACATCCCGTGTCCATGATGAAGCGTATCGGTGGTCCATCATACCTCTCCACAGCCATGAACATCGTGTCTCCTGGTATCGTGTAGTTGACAGAATCCTTCCTTACTACCTCGCTGGTGTTGAAGTCAGACAGGTCGACGTTCACCTCGATTCCTTCATCTTGAGAGATTTGTATCCATGCCTTGGCAATGTGTTCAGCAGAAAATAGCTCCATCATCTTACCTTTGGCATGTGCTACTCGTGCAGCTATATTGCTCACTCTGAGGGCTCTCAACGACGAAATGAGCTCGGTATCCACCTTCTGCACCTCACTCTTCTTCTTCCTGAGGGGACGGGTGTTTAGCTCGTTACCAGGATCGCAGGGGAACGTGGTCACATTCGCCTGGTCATCGAATCTGACTTTAAAGCGAAGCGCCAACTCACCTTGTTGTACGTTGGGAAGTGCGGGTTGTACGTCCTCGTCATCACTCTCGATGTCTCCGCAAAGCATGAAGGCTGGCGCAGCCGGTTTAGGTTTGGCTTTGCCTTTAGCCTCTTGTTTTGTAGCAGGGGCAGCGTGATGCTGACGTCGACATTTGTCCCCGAACTTGCACGATCCTTTCTGCCAATTCCAACAGACCTGATCCTTCATTGGCTTAGGGCTACTGCTCCTGCCACCAGGACTCTTTGATCTGTCACCCTTGAGGCTTTCTGGTTTCTTAGCAGAACTTTTGCGCTTCTCTTGGTGACTAAACTTGCATTTGTCTCCTCTAGAACATCCGTTTTTCCCATGGAAGTGGAAAGCGCATCCTATCTTGGACGTATCTGCCGGAGTCGCTGACCTGCCACGATCCCCCTTTGGGCTCTTCGTGGTTGACCTTCCACGATCCTGCTTCTTGTCCTTCTTGTGGTGATCCTTCGGATTAGCCTGAGGAAGTACTGGAGCGGCGTCAAGCTTCGGTGGATCGGCCTTGGTATTCTTGGGCTTCGCTTTAGGGTCCTTCTTCTCCGCCGCTGGTGTGGCTTTCACGAGGTTCCCAAAAGCTTTTTCCCTTTCTTTCTTGTTTGTGGTCTCGATTGATTTCCGTATCCACTTCGCCATGATCTCTCGTAACTTCTGGTAGGTCTTATCCGGATCCTTATCCAACATGTTGTCGTACACGGACAAGTCTAACGCCATAACTTTGGAATCCTTAATCTTATCCCAAAGCAGGTTGCGGAGTGCTTTGTCAGGAAGCATGTCATCCGCATCCATACCTGATATGATCTCATCCCACTGTCCAAGGAATCTGGATAGTTGATTATCCCCAGGGAACTTTAGATCGAATAAGTGCTTGGATGCATACATCACATCAACGTTGTCGGCACTCCGGAAGCTATCGACGATCAACGCTAACATTTCTCGTCCCTTGACCATTCCAGGGGTTGTGCCTCTCGCACGTCTCTGCATCATCTGCCTCACCTTCAGTTGTACGTCATGAGATCTTTCACCTGCTGCGTGGATGATCGTATGTAGGGTGATACCTAGCTTAGCGTCTATGCTAGCGAATCTTGCTTCACCTGATGTCTCGAGCAGAAATGGGTCATATGGTGATCTGAAGGCATCCGAGAGCCACTGGATCCAGTCTTCTTGCCTTTCGTCGCCCGATGCCGTCACGACTGCCGCTACAACCTGGGATTTCCAAACCTCCAGGTCGTGTATCTTGGGCCATGCAGGGATGTTGATTTTCTCGTGTTCCTTCCGAGATATCTTGGAGCCACCCGAGCTAGAGGATGAGGCGGCACCATGTTCGGTTGCGGCTGCATTCTCTGCATTCAAGCGCTCCTCTTCGTACCTCCTCCGGTACTTATTCCTCTCATCTCTGAGCCGTGCTGCATGCGCTTCGAATTCCATCATGTCCTGTTGGTTCTGCATCATACCTTCGTAGTACTCCATTGCCTCTTTCTCCTCGGACCTTAATGACTTCTCGGTACGTCCAAGTTCCGCTCTAAGCTTGGTCATCATCTCATTCTCCACATTGGGTTCCGATCCCATGTCTGGTGGTTTCAACGTCAGTGCGACCTTCAATTGTGCTTCACTTGCGCTCGATTCGATCAGTTCTTCCTGAAGACGTTTCAGCATCCTCTCTTTCCGTAGAATGTCTTCTTCCAACATGTTCACCTTGACTTCAGCTTTCTTGAGTTCGACGTTGGATGGTTGAGACGGTCGATCGGATCCTTGAATCCTCGCCTGCGTCAACTCCTCGTTCGCCCTCTTCAATTGTTCCCTGATGGTCATGATGAAATTGTCCTGATTATAAGATCGGTTGTTGAGCTCCTCATTCTCTTCTGATAACCATTTGATCTTGCTTGCATACATTGCTTCCTTCATCTTCATCTCCTCAGCATATTCGTGTTTGTTCCTGGCGCTCTGCCTTTGTAGTCCAACTAACTCCTGTCTATACAGATCCCTAATGTTCTCAGCATCTGCGACTGCAGTCATGACCTCGGTTACGGCTCGATCTCTTTCCGCCGATATAGCCTGGATCTCTTCCGTGCCGATGTTCACAACTTGACTAACCATCTCTGCGCTGTTGCGATCAGCGTACTCCCCTAACTGGGTGAGACGATCCCGCATTGCCACACGATCAGTGTCAATCTGGTATTGCAAATCGTGTGCTGCTGAGAGCAAACAGTCTCTGGATTCCGTAAGTTGGGAGATTCTTCGTTGATTTCCATATCCTTCGACATAACATTCTTCGAGGTGTGCCATCACTACTTCGTGGACTTCGGTCTCGTGTTGTATAATCTGGTTCTGTCTTTGCTCACATTCGACCATCCATGCGTTTTGGTGGTTCAACATATGCACTTCGGCAAGTAGTTGCGCACACTTCGCATTCAGGTCTCCATCGGCCCGTGCTAGTTGTAGGTTGTCAGTGCTTGCCCTTGCTCCATCTCCAGCTTCGCTGTCCGACGGCACTGGTACAGTTGACCCATCCTCCAATGCTAGCACTCTCACTGCTCCGGTGTCAGTCCTCCTCCTTGTCTCCCTAGGGCTACGGCCTGACCTCGGTGTCCCCCCCGCTGGTGTCGATTGCGCTGACGGGGAACGACTTCGCGCTCTACCTGTCGCACCTTCTCTCACCACTGTCAGAGTCTCCGCTTCGATCGTACCTGGACTAGAGTTGTGGGATGCACTCACCCGATCCGCGGCCGCAGCGGCTGCTCCAAAAGATGCAGTGCTGGCGTCGGATTGGTCCATCTTCAGTGACTGAGGGTAACTGATCTATCCGATGCGTGTGCGTTTAGATGGTGTTGTGTAAGGCCGCAGCACGTACCCAGCTCAAAGGAGTCTGGATACGGCTGATAACCTGCGAACGGATGGAAAGGTGTGCCCTGGCCCCGTTCTAGCCCTTAGTTCAACATGAAGCTCGCGCGCTAAAGCTCCTTTTTACCTGGTTGGGCACTTGAGCCAAAAGTATATGGCATGTACCTATATAGCAACTATACTGGGACCTCATCCCTATTGACAAATTTAATTAGAAGTCTAATTAATAGCTTTTTTTGGACGAAGCCTTGAGACTTGACCAAACCAGTGCCGTCAACTTTGGCTCCCAAATATGCCTGGAGAATGAACTCATACTCTGCGTGTTCAAAGAAACCAGGCCTCAAGGAGAAACGCGTCGAAGTTTTTTCCGGTTGGAGGTCATTGGTAGTTCCTTTTGCTATTAGGTCGGAGGCCATCGCTACTAGTAACAAGAAGGTACTAGGGGCTCCTGGCATCGCAACTAGGAACAAGGACGCTACTAGGGGCTCCTGGCCATACTATGAACGGAGCAAGTAGCTACTAGCAACAAGAAGCTAGGAACAAAGGCTTCTACGTTGGCCATCACTATCGCTTCTTGAGACCCCAGCCCTGGCGCCGAAATGCCCAAAAAATGCAAGCCAAGCTGATAGCCTCACGAATCCAGCAGGAAGCCATGACTTGCTAGAATCAAAAGACCAAGAAAGAGCAGTCTGACTGCTATAACTCACAGCCCGGCGTATTGATTTTGGATCTCCCCTGAGTTCGAGAACCGAAGAATGCGTAAAGAGTAAAGTAAAACTTGCTAAATGTTCCTAGTAAGAATGCTCCTAGTAGCGATGCCAGGAGCCCCTAGTAGCTTCTTGTCTTTAAATGCAACGAGTCTTCAGTTGCAACAAATGCAAATGCCAATTCATGCATTGTTGCCTCTGGGCATTTGGCCGCATTCCTGGGCGCGGGGAATCGTTTCACCTGTAACAGAAACAAGTTTTTTAGGTCTTTGTTTGCTACTAGTTAACAAGAATATACTAGGTTGGAGGCCATCGCTATCAGGGTGGAGGCCATTACTACTAACAATAAAACTTTCTAGGAATTTGAAGCTTCTTAGTAACAAGTGCCTTACTACTAGTAACAAGAAGCTAGTAGAAACAAGTGCCACGCTACTAGTAACAAGTGCCTTACTACTAGGAAGAAGAAGCTTCTTAGTAACTAGAAGCTTTTGGGGTAGGCCGCTAGCCGCTAGCAGAAAAAGTGTCCGCCCTTTGAACATCCTCTGCCCACACCTGAAAGCAAAGGGGAAAGCAAGCGGCATCACCCAAATTGCTCAATCTCCGATGGAGCCATTGTAATGAAACAATATTTACATGTTCGTCTTGACCTGCTCCTGTTGGTACCCATCTGCTTGAACGAGTCATTGAAGCTTTAGTCACCTCACTACAAATTAACATCCGGCAGGTGTTCCTGGTCTGTATTGCACTGTGTCTAGTCTGCTGCTGTTTCTTTGCTTCTTTGTTCCCTCTCTTCCCTAAAAGCTGGCGGAGTGCGAGCAAGCAAATATGAAAACTACGGGGCACATTTGTTCCAAGCTATTAGGGAAAGAACAGCTTTCAGAAACTCATTAACTTAGTGGCAACAGCACTTGAAAAGTGTAAACTGTAAAGCACGCAAAACAGCATCCCCAACTTGTGTTCAGCCCGACTTCAAGTGCTTCATCCACAACAAGGAGTGAACGTCTGCCTCCATCAGTTGGGTCAACCATGGGGTTGTCAACGGACGTCTTTGTAAAGTAGAACATTTCAAGCTATTACTAACAAGTGCATCGCTACTAGTAACAAGTGCCTTACTACTAGTAACAAGAAGCTACTAGTAACAAGTGCATCGCAACTAGTAACAAGTGCCTTACTACTAGTAACAAGAAGCTACTAGTAACAAGTGCATCGCTACTAGATGCTACTAGTAACAAGTGCCTTACTACTAGTAACAAGAAGCTACTAGTAACAAGTGCATCGCTACTAGTAACAACAATGAAGATGGTTGCGGATTGCTACAGCAGTCGCCCAACCTGTTTCGCTGGTGATCTCCTTCAATTTGTTGCCGTACGTTTGGCCAAAGGACTCAGAATTCCCATTCAACTGGGATCTGGACCCTTGTACTCTTGCACTTCTCATTTTTAAGCCCGCGCTTACTTAAACAAGTTGGCGTCTACTGGGGGCTCCTGGCATCGCTACTAGGAGCAAGGACGCTACTAGGGGCTCCTGGCCTTACTACTAGGAACAAGAAGCTATTAGTAGCTAGAAGCTACTAAATCAAGGGAGAAGTTCGCTCCTAGCTACTAGGCCGCTACTACATGTGGACGCAGCTCACGCTTCCTTGAAGAAGCGCTCGCACGAATGATTTGGTTCCTAGTAGTGAACATTGCTCCTAGTAGTAAGGCCAGCAGCCCCTAGTAGCGTCTTTGCTCCTAGTAGCGATGCCAGGAGCCCCTATATAGTAGCTTCTAGCCCCTAGAGAGTTGGTTCCTAGATTTTTGGGGAAACTTAACTACTAGTAGCGTCCTTGTTCATAGTAGCGATGGCCTCCAACCTAATAGCGATGGCTTCCACATAGTAGCGTCCTTGTTCCTAGTGATAACACCTGCGGCTACCTTGGAAATTTGTTTCTGCCGCTGTTTGCTCCAAAGACTTGCGCCAAGGTGCAATGTGCAATTGAACAAGAGTTGCAATAGGAATTTCGATTGCAGCCCTTTTTGCCACAAGCACATGGCGCATTGCGGAAGAGGTTGTGTAGGAGGTCCAAACCGAAGTTTTGGACTCTTGAGACAAAATTGGTTCATACCACTGCTGTTCTCCAATGTGCGAACGAAGCTACATATATGTCATGCCTTGTGGAGAGTGTGCTACACCCTATCGTGCACGCTGGTCAACACGAGACGTAACAAGTGCCACACAGCGCTGCCCCAAGAAACCACCTGCCCGGACGCCCTTCGACCAAATTGAAAAGAACGACTCCTCGGTTTTATTCTCGCGAGAGACGGATGAGGAGCTCCCTTCTTCGTGAAGTCTTTGCCTTACTAGTAGTAACAAGAAGCAATGAAACTTAAATTGCACAGACTGCGGGTGTACTGCAATTGGCCCCGAGTTGGCAAACACGGAATCCCTGAGAGAGTGGTCACCCAAGAACACAACCCCCAACGAACTGAAGAAATCCATTGGTTGGATGGCCGCCTCGCTCGTACTTGTTGGTTTGTCTTTTGTTGTTTTGTGTTGTTTGGAGGAACCTGACCGACAGCAACACTGTAGTTGGAGTCTTGAAGTTTTAAACATATTTTGGTAGCGTTTTCAAATGTTTAAAGAGCTTTTTGTTTCATTGCTTCTTGTTACTACTAGTAAGGCACTTGTTACTAGAAGCGATGCACTTGTTACTAGTAGCTTCCTGTTACTACTAGTAGCTTTTTGTAAAGAGTTGTTTTTTTTTGGGCATGCGTATGTACAGTCCTCGAGTGACTGTTACTTCTTGGCCCAAGTGTGAGCAAGAGGGCGCGAGGGAGTTCCTATCACAACCCCTTAACTCACTTCGTTCGCCCTAAAAGCTCAAGCCTTGCCTATTGGCTGGCTTTCTATATAATATCAATATATACATATACACATATATGTATATAAATACAAGGCTTCCGGCCACACCCATAACGGCATACTCATGTAGGGTACCTAGTTGAGAGACTGGGCCCACAATGACGACGACTCTCTGTCCTCTTTTGAATGGTGACCGGCAATGGCCTCCAACCTACTAGCGATGGCCTCCAACCTAAGGGGGGAACCCCCAGCTTCTTCCACTAGGACGCGCGACCACCGCTACCGTCTACAGGGAATCAATCTTACTTTGAGACACCTTTCCTTCATGCAATAATGCGTTGCCGTGTCGATAATGTGAGACAAAGCCGGCATCCCGTTGCCTGTGCATGAACAATCCAAGTGTGTCTTGGGCCGTTCTGTAAAAGGCGTATAAGGGGTATCTTCAGCCGTGCTACCCCAACCACCAGGCCCAGTTCCTTTTGCCAATGCATCGAGCCGTTCTTCTTGTTGGGTTTTGAACGTCGTTGCCGGACAGGGTGCGGGATTGATCCTTGGACCCGTTGCTGGGTGAGACGCAACAGGCCATCGTGTTGGCTTGTTCATCGCCGCTGTTTCATGGGTCAGCCACTACGTCCCGCAGGTGCTGCAATCCTCAGGCACATGCTCTCCCCTCTCCGAAGCATTTAATAACAAGAAGCTACTAGTCACAAGGGCATTACTACCAGTAGCATTCTTACTACTAGGAACAAAGCAGCTACTAGGAGCTCCTGGCCTTACTATATACTAGGAGCAAGGACGCTACTAGGGGCTCCTGGCATCGCTACTAGTAACAAGAAGCTATTAGCTTATTGTTTCTAATAGCTTCTTGTTACTACTAGTAAGGCACCTGTTACTACTAGCGTGGCACTTGTTACTACTAGTAACAAGAGGATGCTGTTGTCTCAAGACTAGACCGTCGAGGCCTGCAAGCGCACTGAATGAACACAATCGGACACCAAAAGATGAGCGACCGGCAAAACTAGACCGGCAAAACTAGGGGTCGTTTGGTGGTACGTTTAGAGCATGGTATCGTTTTTGGGATTGGTATCGTCTAAATGTAATTTGCTCTGGAAGGTGATCTTGCAAATGATGACTAGTAGTCGTCGTGTACTAGTACTACTCGTAGTACTACGTAGTAGCAAAGTAGTAGTAGTGGTAGTAGTAGTAGTAGTAGTAGGAGTAGCAGTAGCAGTAGCAGTAGTGGTAGTGGTAGTGGTAGTCGTGGTAGTGGTAGTTGTAGTTGTTGTTGTTGTGGTTGTCGTCGTCGTCGTAGTCGTACGTAGTAGTAGTCGTCGTCGTCGTCCTCGTCGTCGTCGTCGTCGTGTAGTAGTAGTAGTAGTCGTCGTCGTCGTCGTCGTAGGAGTAGCAGTAGCAGTAGTAGTCGTCGTCGGTGGTAGTAGGAGTAGCAGTAGCAGTAGCAGTAGTAGTAGTAGTCGTCGTCGTAGTAGTGGTAGTAGTAGTAGTAGGAGTAGGAGTAGCAGTAGCAGTAGCAGTAGTAGTCGTCGTCGTCGTAGTAGTGGTAGTAGGAGTAGCAGTAGCAGTAGCAGTAGCAGTAGCAGTAGTAGTAGTCGTCGTCGTAGTAGTGGTAGTAGTAGTTGTTGTAGTCGTAGTCGTAGTAGTCGTAGTAGTCGTCGTCGTAGCAGTAGTAGTAGTAGTCGTCGTCGTCGTCGTCGTCATAGTAGTAGTATAGTAGTAGTAGTAGTAGTAGTAGTAGCAGAAATAGAAGTAGTGGCATGTGATTGGGCAGGTGGTGTCTGAGGGGATACAGACCTATGAAGTGGGTATCGTTTGGTATCGTTTTTGGTATCGGTCTGAACCCATAATTGTTTCCCATCGAAGAAAAAGAAGGGAAACTTAGCAAAAATGAAATGGACTGTCCAGCTAGCATGGCAAACCATATGCAAAAAAACCTTGGACATACACTGTCTCGAGTGTCAACATTGTCAACAGGCAAAGATAGATTCCAAGATGTGTACCGTCACAAGGCTAGGTATCGTTTTTGGGATTGGTATCGTTTTTTCAAGGAAAATGCAAATTGCTCATTTTTGAAGTAGCACTTTGCTCAGATGGCCTACTAACGATGGCCTCCACCCTTGTAGCGTCCTTGTTCCTAGTAATGCCAGGAGCTACGAGTAGCGTACTTGGCTTTCTGTTCTGCTTGTCCCAAGTTCTCCCACATTTCCCTGAGTGCGCTACGACCAACTGAACGCCGAGACAAGCCCCACCTGGAACAGAACTGAAGCGAAAAACATTCCACCTGTGAAAATGTTCGGCAAACATGTGTGCATTTTCACCAAATTCCACGACGGCAAAAGCGCGGTGGGCGACATCCGAAAGAGAACCACAAAGAGATTGCAAGACGGCCGCTTCTGGAACCCAGGAGCATGGCATTACCAATAAGAAAAAGCTACTAGGAGCAAAGGGCATCGCTACTAGGAGCAAGGACGCACTGGGGGCTTGTAAACACACGCAATCGCCCCAGGACCAAGCTGTGACGAACAGATTTGGCGGGCGCGGCGGAGTTTGATGAGCGCAGCGAGCCCATTCCTGGTCTGCGAACCTGTTGCTAGTAGCGATGCACTTTGCTACTGGTAGCGTCCTTGCTCCTGGAAGCGATGGCCTCCAACCTAGAAGCCTTTATTTCTAGTAGCTTCTTGTTCCTAGTGGTAATGCCAAGAGCTGCTCTAGTAGCTTCTTGATACTAGTAGTAAGGTGCCTTGCTACGTATATCTCT